TTGCCACACGCTCGGGATAAGGCGTACTTTCTGCATCAACCTGGCTATGGAGGTCCCTGGATCTAAGGAGAAACAGGCGCCATGCTATACACGCACACCAGGTCGAGTGACTTTCAAACGCTGGCGGCTCGGAAGTCGCTGGGATCTCCGGAACCACAAGCAGACGCGGCGCCTGCTGGGTACGGCTCAGCTTGTCTGTCGTACGGGCAAGCGGACACCACAACTCGGGAGAAGTGAACTCTGATTCGCTTTGGCTCCCTCCGCGCCCCATTGTGGCGAGTGTCAGGGAGTTCAATGCCTAAGAAGGAAGAATGATGTATGCAGTGGATGAGTACGTCGCGGCATCAGCAGCCTAGCGGCTGTGTGGGGGTTCGAGTAATTTTAGGTCAGACGGAGTGCAAGCGACTGGGCATCCTCGTAGTTGCCAAGGACGGAGAAAGACCTGGGAAGGCGGTCACAAATGCGATACGACAGGAATAATACGGACTGCAAATCTTACCACTCGCAAACGACTACTGAGAAATCTACAGGATGTATCATCCTTGTCTTCCTAAATAGGTAAGTACCTACCCTAGCCGCTAGTCGTAGTGGGTAAACAACGACTTCCATGTGTCCGGGTATGTCACCCGCCTAGAAAGCCCGCACAGGGCTGCACCAAGGTCCCATCGGGTACACAAATCTTGTGGGAATTCCTCCGTGTCAATCAATTTCTGGTGTCTGAGTTAGCCATACTAGTCTCCCTCTAGACCTTCCTAGGAGTTCATGAGGAACGATGATGAGCTTGCCTGGCGGTTTGTGTAGAAGACCCATCGGGGGGGCTCGCGGGGAGTGGCGCTAGAAGGACTAGAAGCACGCGAGAAGAATGCAGGCTGGGTCTAGTCTGGGTCGAGAATAATACTAGCCTACGTAATGACGGAGACGGGTAGCGGTGGATTTGCCGGATCAATGATCGTTATTAGAGGGCCCCACTGCCCCCTTTCAGCCCGTCCGATTTCCCCGGTGACCACCAGGTCAGAAATATCCACCGAAAGAGAAGAGAGGAGGCCAAATCCAGAGGGCTAGAAGGGGAAGAGAGGTTCTGGAATCCAGGGTCGAGACCGACAGGCGAGGTATCACTTGAAAAGAGATAAAACGGGAAGCGAGAGGGTTTGAAACGAGTTAACCTGTACCGAGTATGGTAGGGGAGAAAATGATGTGGCTCGAAAGGCGCTGAGTTGACCTGTCCTAGTCTAGTCTGCTTAGTCTCAGACAAACGAACCACCATCCCATTCCATCATCCCTCCTGTGGCTGACATGAATCAAATCAGGAGACTGGTGGGCCAGCCGAGGAAGGGGATCGAATCAATAAACACTAAACAGTGATTTTGCTCGCCATAGTCTCCCGAAACTCTCTAGCCAGGCGACTGCCTACCTAAGATACCTGACCAGCCAACAGGGACCTCTTCGGATTGGCTCTGAGACTTGATCCAGGCGAGAAAAGACCCTCTTCTTCCCCATAAGGTGGTCGACTTAGCACTAAAAGTGTCCGGAGGCTGCGGCCTGCTGTTGTTGCTTACCTCATGCATGCCCCTCCGCCCCCTAAGTTCTCCCTGCGTTGTCGCATCGAGGGACTACGGTATACCGTAGGTGACCAAAGTGGAAAGTCAAGCTCGGTAAGATGATAGGCTGGCTCAATGTACCTTACCTCTACTAGATACAGCACCTATCAAGCAAGCAAGCAAGCGAATCATCCAATGATTGTTTGTGCCGGTTTGCTGCTTGATCAAGTCGGGATGATCGTGATCGTACAATGGGGCGCCTATGCAGGTACTACTCCGGGACCTTCCCAGGGTGCGTCTAGCCGCGTTGGGGGAACGCAGCCGACCAGAATACCGCCTAACTAATCGGCTCTATTTCGTTAGCAACCAAACGATGGCAAATGATAGCCCCAGTCCGAAAATTTAGGTCTCATCCATGACGGAAAATAATTCAAGCCAAGGATCAAGAGGGAAGAAAGAAAAAAGCCAATGAGACGATCTTGACGAGACGCTCAATCAATCAATCAATCAATCAACAAGCGAACATGCTGAAAGACACGGGAATGATGAGAGACAGGGCTTCATCCGGGAGAAAATCGTCATGGATGATGGATCAATCCAAGATCCATGATATGGATGGATGGCAGTTGCCATAGTCGTCCCGGTTACCATCCATCCAGTCAGTTTCCAGGGGCCCCTGATTCCCACTTCTTCCCACCCACCCACCACCCCAAAACACCACGCGAGCGAGCATGAAGACAAGCCCCCAGCGGATCCATCCGCGGGTTCCTGTGAGCGGCTGTCGTCTCCACTCACATGCACCAAACTTGCCCGAGAAGTCGGTTCCTTCTCCCCTAGCTTCTGTGGTAATGGTATTTACAGTTGGTTACTCCGTAGATAGGTTCAAAGGGTGCAAGTCTGGGTGGAGATTCTCGAAATTTTCTGGCTTTTCTTCGCTTTTACCAGAATGGTGCGGTGGTCGCCGCAATGACGATGGTGGGTGTGGCTAGATCCCCGATACCATTCCTCTTTCTAGGGTACTGTACGGAGTACTTGGATGTCTCATGACGGCCCAAGATCCATTCCCTTACGACCGAACGAACGAACAGATGGCCAACTGAACCATGACTGATTGATACCTGCTTGCGATTGACTCGGATTCTGGGACCTCGGATTATATTGATGATGATGATGATGAAGATGAAGATTACTGTTACAGATCAGACGGGCCTTTTTTTTTTGTTTTTCTTTTCGTCCTTGGGGTGATGTATATAGCCTTTCCAATTTCCGAAATGAACCCCCGTGTTTGGAATCAGCCATCATCGGGATTTTCTGACTCATGTCCGCGAAACACCGATCATGGATTAGGGATTGAATCATCGGGTGTAAGCATGAACTACTCAGGCACAACAACAAGCAGCAGAAAGGATGGCGACACAAGAGCCATTCGGAACGTTGGCAACTTGAAGGGGGGAGGACGCAGAGAAACTGGAACCCCTAAGCAATGGAAAAGAAAGGGGGAAAGCAAAGCAATGGGAGGGAAAAGATGGTTTCGCATCCACAGCTTCGGGACGGGAGAGCCGCTGACCTAGCCAGCTATGTATGTACAGTACTATGTATGTACTGTACGCTCGACAGTAAACAGAGCTGCTTCTGTTCTTAGTGCTGGGTCTGTATTATGTATTGAGAATTGATTATTCTTGCTAGTTTTTCCCTTTTCTCTTTTCCCTTAACTAAATCCAGCCAACTAACTAATTATCGTTACTGTTATTCCTCCGATAATTCTGGCCTTTTCTGGCCCCGTCAGCTGGGGTATGGTACCTTTTTCTTACTACTACTTACTATTTTTATTTGGTTTTATTTTTTTCGTCTCTTTTTCTTTTTGAGTACTCCGTATTTACCCTTCTGTTCTCCTGTTGCAGCTGCCACTTTATCTCATCTTTTTGTCTGTTTTGTTTTGCTTTTTTGAAATTCTCAGTGGTTCTTCTCAGTCCGTCGTTTTTTTCTGATTTCTCTGATTTAATATTCTATTTTTTTAAGCTTTTCTTTTTCAGTTTTCTGTTGACTGTCTGGTCAGATCCTCCCCCAATCTTAAAAAGAATAACCCAATTCAGTAAATTAAAATAATCAAAAAATTGCAACGGCAGTAGAATGAAGAAGAATAAAGCGAGCTACGTACCGGTATATATCAAAGTGATGGAGCCCCTTCAACTCTTCACCTGGTTAAATTCTTCAATCCATCCATCCCCATTCCCTGCCTGGTCAATCAATTGATCTCGCCCTTCTTGAACTGCTTCTTATCTACAGCCAGGACCGAACCTCCTCTTTCTCTTCCTCCTTCCTCCGCCTCCCTACGTACTTTCGCCCATTCCCTCGCGCCTTCGGTTCTTATCCCGACCTGCCTCTCTCCGTGACGTTACCTACGAGGCCGCGTTCCATCCTCCCTTGCGATACGTCCAGTCTCGCATTTGTTTTCTTTTTCATTACCGGATTAGACGGAGTTCACTTCCGTGGCACCTCCTTTCCAGGATTACCTCCTTGCGGGCTGCATTAGTCGCTCCGTTTCCTTGGTTGTCGGTTCTTGATCAGATCGCGCTTGATCCCCAATAATTCACCCAGCACGTCCCTGCGTGGTTTTGACCGCGGGTTTGCTACGATCTCGACATATCGAACGGCGAAAAAAGCAACAACAAAGACTGCACATTTCCTCGAAAAGAAATAAAGTACCACCGCCTATCCACCGGGCTCGAAATCACCCAGCAAAAACGACCTGTCGACTGGGCTTGAGGGGGCTCCACATCCTTTCCTCATTCTTACAAGCCCATTTTCTTTGGTACCTTGAAGTCGCATTCCTGCCCTACAGATCTACCTCTCCTCGCTACATCACCCTGTCTCGAGCGTCAGACCTGTGATCCCTCTTAATAAGGATCGCACTTCCGATCTCACCTGCAGCTGCATCATCCGTCCTCTGCATCATTACCGCCTGTTGCCGGGAATCTTGGGTACCTCGCTAGGCGATCTATCAACAAACGCACAGTCACCCTAATAATTGGATTTTCCTTTTATTTTCTTTTTCGAATATTTTATTTTCGCCTTCGACATTTTTTAAAATTAATTTGGCCTCCGGGAGAGCCAGACCTGTCCTTTATTTAAGCTTCCGTGAGTACTCCCTTCAACCCCAAGACCTACTTTCCCTTCTTCCATCCACTTTCACCCTCCTGCCTCTCTTGCCTCTACCATCTCACAAGACCAACCTTGACCTCCCTGACCATGGCTGTTCTCGCAGAATCGGCTATGATACCCAAGGACCTCTCAGCCTTCAACATGGGACGCGGAGCTTATGACACCACGGGGGTCAAGAAGCCCGGTGCACCGCCGCCACCCCCTTCGACTCGATGAATCCCTGGAGGACATCTGCCAACCACAATCTGCTATTCTATTGATCTCTCGAGCGAAAAAGTTACTTGTGGTTTTCTTGCACCTGGCGCAGGGCCCCTGGAGTTCTAACGTGACTGCTATGAAGTCGAACTTGTAAGTGCTGTGCATCTCGTTTGCGCTTTGACCTGGATCCAGAGCTGACCACCCAGTCCAGTTTCTGTATCACTATATCTACCTGATTTTCTCACGCTCTTCGTTGGCCACTTCTGTTTTCGGCATATTCGACTCGGTTCCTAATCATGTCCTCGTCCTTTCCACCATCACCTCGATCATGGACTGACACCGGCTACCTTTCTTCTTCTTGGATCGACTCTTCACTTGAAGCATACACCTTTTTAATCTCCCGACACGACCTCAGGTCCATGATCTGTTTCATTAAAAGCCATCTGTTTCTTTTACTCGGGTGTTTCATTTTGGCTACTCTAGAATCGGCGTTTCTTATAGACGGACTGGGTTATTGTGCTTTGACTTTTCCTTTTGTGCAGTGGGATACATGGATTGATACCAAGACAGACTAGAACCTCCGACCTCGCGGTCACTTACCCTTATTGTTATTTCGTCTACTTTTACAGAATACATTTCCTCAGTGGATTTCGTCTCTTCTTGTTGCAGTGTGCGGGGTTTTTTTCTTGATGATTTGCGCGGATGTATGCTATGCTAGGTATAGGGAAGCATTGCCTCGACAATAGTGACCAGTTCGTTGCCCTTGACCAGTTTCCTGCCTCCTCCGCCTCCACTCTCCAGATTGGGAGTCTGGTCTTGCATGCCAGCTTGAAAGCTTCAGGAATAACCTCGCACTAGGCAGGCTGGACTGCAATCGATTAAGCAGCGATTGCCCCAGGGTTGGCTTGACGGGAGAGCACAGAGCACCTTCAACGTGATTTGCCGGCCCTAAGCATTATCTGGGTGGATCCTGGTCGAGAATCAGGAAGTTCGAGCGCAGGCTTGCATGTGCTTCTTTTTTGGGCAGCCACCGGGTCCTGCGCAAATCATGTTGTGCAACGTCGGCTTGATGACAGCACGGGGGCTGCTGCCACTGAGGAAATGACTCTCGCTCTCTCTCTCCAACTCAACAGGCTGACAAGCGGTCCTGACCGTTGGGAGGGGGGAGCTAAGGGAGGAAGGGGGGCGAGGTAGGAAGGGGGGAGGACCCTCTTTTGGCACGTCATGCTCGGATTTCATGGCATGTTGATCGGACACTGTTGGTTCCCCTCGTGCTTTCGACGTAAGAGTCGGCTTGCCTAGCTACTTGCTTAGTTGCTTGGAGGTTGCTGGGTTGGGCTAGATCGCTTGTCGCCCAATGAGAGGAATTCGATGTACTTTGAGCTCTTTGATCACCACAGGAAAAAGTTGATCTATCGCCTTTACCGCCAGGATGAGGCCTGAAAACGACCACACAATGTGCATTGACACCGTCGATGGGTATGGACAGGCGGCGGAATGGGACAGGTATCTAGGCAGGTGCTTGCAGGCCAGGCCGAAAGAGGGCTATGGTCGTGAAGTCCTGAAATCTGAGTCCTAACTAATGGGTGTGTGTGCAGGACGTTTCTGTCGGGAAAGACGGAGCAAAAGAGAAAAAAAAAAAAATAAACAGAAGCCCTAGCTAACTAGTCCGGAGTAGGTATGTACATACAGCAAGTACATAAAGCAAGTACATTTGTACATTGTACAGGATGTACTCAGCCCAGGGCCGCCAGATTATCGGTTGGTTAGGTAGGTACAATCAATTGACGACAACTTTAAGCCCCTCTTTTACCCCATTTCCCGTACGTGCGTGTCTGCTGTCACCCGAAAAGCCACTGACTCTTTTAATATTGTTTTTTTTTCCTTTGGTTCAGTCTGATTTTTCTTGGTCAGGTTTGGGTGAAATTTAAACTACACCGCATTTCCTCGCCAATGATGCAGACGACGTAGTTAGTCTGCGCCTCAGGTACCACTGCTTGCCTGAATACTGGACACACTGGACAGTCTAGCCCTCTTTCGGAGAAGCGGGAACATCCCGTGACTGTCGGGGTAGGCTAAACCCAGTTGGGCATCGCGCCGTCATCCCATCTACTCGGACCTCCGCCTCACTGGGTATCGACATGGGCGGTTAGACTAGCATCTCTCTGGTCTCTCTCTTTCTCTCTCTCTTGTCGTCGTCACTTTACCTCCTCTTACCTCCTCTCGCATCGCTGCCCTTCTTTACCGCCATTTCATCCTCTCTCTCCTGGTACGTGCTATCCGTCTTTCCCATTTGTCGGCTCTTTTTTTGTCACTTAGCACTTGGTCCTTCATGTCTTGTGTTCGCCCCCCCCCCCTCATCTAAACACACCCCTGTTTGAAGTTGGCTCCCAGTTTACCTCGTGTTTCCTGCTTACGTCGTCGGTTTAGGCTACCTCCTTCCGAACTTTTTCGCCATCTGTATTGCCGGCCTGAGCCGCCCCTCGCGAACAGAAATCCGGCGCCCTCACGATCGATAAACCACCGTGGCTGTTAGCCTATTCTGCACGACGACCTGATTCTGAATTTCCCTAATTCCTGAAACCCGTTGGGCTCTTCTCCAGCCATGTCTGAGTCAACCAGCGCCAATACCGCGAAACCGAGCAGCAGCGTCAAGCTGGTACTTTTGGGAGAAGCGGCGGTGGGAAAGGTATGAACGGCCTCGGCAGTTTCTCCCCCAATTTTCTAGTTCTCCGTTCGTGAGACAAAAAAAGTGACTCAGGGACTGACAATGGATGGCATGGGTCGTTTCGGGCTGGACAGTCGTCATTGGTGCTGCGATTTGTCAACAATGACTTTCAAGAGAACAAGGAGCCAACAATTGGAGGTAAGCATCCGACGTGTGGCGAGATGTCCCCGACAGCATCCCCGCGGTGTCACCGGAAGCTGATGTCATGGGATTTCCCTCGGTTTCAGCGGCCTTTCTGACCCAAAAATGCTCCCTTCCGACGCGGACGATCAAATTCGAGATCTGGGATACCGCTGGTCAGGAGCGGTTCGCCTCGCTTGCGCCCATGTACTACCGGAACGCCCAGGCGGCTTTGGTGGTTTACGATGTCACCAAGCCGTCCTCGCTCACCAAGGCTAAGCACTGGGTGGCTGAGCTCCAACGACAGGCTAGCCCCGGCATTGTCATCGCCCTCGTCGGCAACAAGCTGGACTTGACAAACGACGCGAACGAGGCGGCGGGCGAGGCGCAGCCCGAGGCGGAACACGAGTCATCACCCGCCGATGGAGACGAAGCCACCGAGGAGACCCAGGAGGAACCAGATGTTTCGAACGGAGACTCTCGGAAGGTGTCGACACGGGAGGCTAGCGCCTACGCGGAGGAAGAAGGCCTATTGTTCTTCGAAACCAGTGCCAAGACCGGCCACAACGTGGTCGATGTCTTCACCGCTATAGCCAATGCGATCCCGGAGAGCAGCTTAAAGAGCGGCCGCGGTGCCGGCGCAGGCACTGGACAGACCAGCCTGAGCGGTGGTCGCCCGGCCGAGGACTCGCGGGTCAACCTGGGAGAGCGCGGCGCGGCGACGGCCAAGGAAGGATGTGCATGCTGATACCAGATTGTTTTTCGAATGTGCTTGCTGCGATTTGCCTTTGTTCGTCTCTTTCTTACTGTTTTGCTTTTCCGATACAATATCAGGTTGATTACAGGTTAATGTGTTCATCCTATGGCGGTGCTAACAGCGACCGCTCTGGGGAGACAAGTACTACGGTCTGAGCCCGCGTTTCTTGCGGCGTCTGGAGAGTTCACTCTTGTTGATGGACGCGCTGCCAATGGTTGTTTTTCTCGGCTTATTATTCTTTTGTGCTGTTGGGTCAGATAATCCTGTAGGGACTGAGGGAATGATTGGGGATGTTGTTGTACAGATGAGGGAAAAGGGCGAATTAGGCTTAGGGTGGAAGCGATCAATCGACCGGAGATGCCAGCCGTGTATCCTGAGGTACTGTCAATGGAGCCAGACTCTAGCCATCGTCCAGGGCTTGTAGGATCTATCTACATAGTATGTATAGATAAAGCGATGCGATAGCGATAAGTTGGCGGGGAAGAACGTACGGGAAGGGCGAGACAGATCACGGGACCGGGCCACCCCTAACTAGGCCGGATGTGGAATAAGGCGGCCGGCTAAGCGAGAGCGCCGAGCCTCCGATCCCACAGCCGACCCAAGCGCAAATTGGGTCGCCTGCTTGCCCGGTATCTTCGATTTCAACCACCAACCTCACGACAAGGAAGGCCAGCAACCACCTCTCCTCCGCCACCCCCAGCAGCACAGCCAGCAACCCGTCGCTCGTCTGCAACAATGGCTGCCATCAACAAGATCGCCCTTAACTCGCCCTCGAGGCAGAACCCCTCCGAGCTGGAGACCGCGATCGCCGGTGCTCTTTTCGACCTCGAGAGCAACACACAGGACCTGAAGGCCACCCTTCGGCCCCTGCAGTTCGTCTCTGCCCGTGAGGTAAGGACTGTCTTGGTGTGAGAGAGTGATATCCGCCAGCAGATCAGCAATTGTTCCAATCCGTGCGTCGTCGCCTTGTCCGGAAGAGGAGGATATTTTTTTTTTGTTGCCGTCAACAATGGGATGGAAAACTCGGATTTGTGTGTGTGCGGAATGCGGAGATAAGACATGAAGAACGAGGATTACGAATAACGACACCAACACTCCATCCTATGAGCTGGATGTGTGTTTGCGGATTTCTCTGTTCATCCCACACTGGAAATTTCGACACCGGGAGGAAATCGGCTCAACATGGGAACAATCGGAACAAGACATCGCGGACGAGAACGGTTCAATCGACTAATCTGCTGCGCTGGATATCGCGAATGCTTGCTTTTGCCCTTTTCTGCGATGTTGCTATCTCTCTGCAAACTGGTATTGACGATTTCTTTCGTGAATTTTGCAGGTTGAGGTTGGTCACGGCAAGAAGGCCGTCATCATCTTCGTCCCTGTCCCTCTTCTCCAGGGCTTCCACAAGATCCAGCAGCGGTATGGGATATCCCCCCTTTGTCTTTGCTTGTTCTCACGCACACGCTCAAAACCCCGGATGTGCCAAGTGCGCATTGGAGATGTCCTCTGTTCTCTCGCCAACACACGGGAACGCAATCCAAAAACAACTAAACTAACAGCCTCCTTCAGTCTGACCCGTGAGCTCGAGAAGAAGTTCTCCGACCGCCACGTCCTCTTCGTTGCTCAGCGCCGCATCCTGCCCCGCCCCAAGCGCTCCGTCAACTCCCGCACCACCCAGAAGCAGAAGCGCCCTCGTTCCCGCACTCTGACCGCCGTCCACGACGCCATCCTCACCGACCTCGTCTACCCCGTCGAGATCGTCGGCAAGCGCATCCGCACCAAGGAGGACGGCTCCAAGACCCTCAAGGTCATCCTTGACGAGAAGGAGCGTGGTGGTGTTGACCACCGCCTCGACGCCTACGGCGAGGTCTACCGTCGGTTGACCGGCCGTGCTGTCGTCTTCGAGTTCCCCCAGGGTGCTGCCTCTGACTACTAGACCGCGAAATTCTTTTTTTCCATAATGCATCTTCTTTTTTCAACTTTCTCATGAAAAGAAAATCCAACATGTTGTTTTAAAGAATCTGGTCTGGGAAAATCAGGATTGACAGGGAAATTCAAATATGATGGCTGTGTTGTTGTGAGGACAACTTCTAAAAGATCTCTTACTAAAAAACGAAACATTATCCTTAAATCTTCAACAACCTTTCATCCAGCCATTGCCATTGCCATTGCCATTGTCAATTGTCAACTGCCAACCAATCGGCTCCCCCGCCCCCCCGTACTTGGCTTAAGTAGGTTGGAGGGAATCTTGAATCTGAGCTTGGAAATCGCTGCCTTCCACTTCCCCTTACACTCTCACACTCCTACAATCCAAATTCTGGTGATAATATAACTATCTGGGGGAGAAACCCCAGACCCCCCTTTCTTTCAGCTCCCCAGTAACCCCAATTCAGTCCAAGATATAATATAAGTAAAGTATCTGGGGGAGAACCCCCAGACCCCCCTTCCTTTCAGCTCCCCAGTACCCGCAACCCTGAATCCACCAATATAAACCTACCGACACACTTGAATTCACCCTCCACCGATACAGTAATACAGTCCATCAGAACCACCAACCCCCAGCCCCAGCCCCAGCCCCAACACCAGATATATGATCGAATAGGATCGAGATGGTACAGCACAGTGTGTACTAGATTGCCCTGGGCGGGATACTCTATGCTCTACCCTTAGCGGAAGTGGAGTGATCAGGAAGCGGTGGTGGTTCTCCAATGTTCCCAGGAGTGTTCTCGCAGCGGCATATATATCCCGCGTCGGTATGGTACGTATGTATGGACTGCAGGCAACCGAACCATGACTCCCCGTTTACTTGGAAATAACAACTGCATACGGGGTAAGAAGGGAGGGAAGTCGGGTTCGTATTCTACCGGACTTAGTCGCAGGTGCAAAGTTCGGATGGTTCAGCAGTAATACTGTATAGTCAGTATACCGACCCGTCGACACCGAACTACTACCTACTCTACCACATCATCGCAGAAAAACCTGAGAATCACCCCAAAACACTCGGATCAATCCTCCCCACCCCGAGCACCATCCAATACGCCAACTCCCGCTTGACCATCTCGCCCGCGGCGCTGACGCCGGGCCGATCGATCTGGTTCTCCGAGTCCCACTCCATGCGCACGAACACCGGGATCTCCAGGACATCCTCGTCTGGTTGGAGCGGCTGCTGCTGCTGCTGCTGTTGTTGTTGTTGCTCCGCCGCCCGGCCGGTCCAATCTGGTACCTTCCCGCCGAAACCGCCGGTGTCGCTGTCGCTGTCGCTGTCGCTGTCTGGCCCGGGAGTTTTGCGCTGTGTTGTGCGCGCGTCCGGATTCCTGGAATAGGGTGGCAGGGTCACACCGCTACTGCCGGACGGCAACGTCCCCGGTACCACCTCCAGCACCACGGTCGTCCAGTTGCGGCCCTTGTCCCACACTTTGCCGGCCTCGGCGACCTTCTCGAAAAGGCCCCCGGGTGCGGCTGCGGTGACGGTGGCGGGTGCGGCACCGGAGCGGGAGGAGCGTTGGTCGGCGGGCGCGTTGCTGCTGCTGGTGGCAGTACTGCCACCACCAGCAGTTGAAGCGGCAGTGGTATTGCCCTGCAGCGCCTCGTCCCACACGTCGCTGTTGGCGCCGATGTCGAACTGCGGACAGAGAATGGTGACCTTGGAGGCCACGCGGCCCGGGGTCACGGACGGGGTGGCCAGGGTGATGCGGACGGGGTCGAACATGTGATTCTTGAGGGTGAGGAGCAGCTGGGTGGGTCGCAGGGGCGGGAGGGCGTCGAGGTTCATGTTCAGGCCGGCAGGATGGCTGCCGCTACTGCTACTACTGGTCACACCCGCCCCGGGCAGCGGGATCTGGCCCGCCGGCATCAGCGGCCGCAGGGTCGGCAACGGGATGTAGCTGAGCGCGATCAGGCGGATGCGGAACCGGGTGGACTGCGGCTTCTGCTCGGGCTTGACGAGGATGTGCTTGCACGACTTGCAGCGCTTGGCGCGCTTGGTGCGCAGCAGCGTCGCCAGCGGCAGCAGCTCCTCCACGAACCGCGCGTCCGGCGACTGGAAGACGCGCTGCTCGAGCGAGGCGAGTCCGTCCCAGCCGCACTCGTCCGCCGCCATGCGCTGGATGAGTCCGGCTTCCGCGTCGGGCGCCGGCGTCTTGAACCCCTCGCTCGCGGTCAGCGCCTCGCGCATGACCGGCGGTTTTGTCTTGGGCTTCTTGCTGGCGCCGCCGTAAAGGCTGCTGAGGCGGGACGAGGAGGTGTACAGGGACATGATGCGGTTCAGGGCCCCGGGGGAGGAGAAGCCGGCCCCGAAGTCCACGCCGAGCGGATCGCTGGACGAGGACGAGGTGGCCGCAATCTGGTTCTTGTAGAAGCCTTTGAGTGCGTGGAAGCGGGCGTCGGGGCTGAGCGGGGCGTTCGACTGGTCGGGCGAATCGTCGGGGCGTGCTTCGCCGGGCGCGGGGGGGAATTGCTCGTCGATGGAGGAGAAGGTGGACAGGGGCGACTTGAGGTCAGCAAATGTGCGCGACATCTGCCGCGAGCGGGAGGGGTTCGTGTCGGTCGCCGTCAGCTTGGCCAGCTGGGTGCGGATGTTGGTCGGTTTGTCGAACTTGATGCCGATGTCGAGCGTCGACCACATGCAGTATCCGCACGACAACACCCAGGGCCCTTGTTGACTGGTGCCGCCCCGGACGACGTTCTCGAGGGTATTGACCGCCAGCGGTGCGGTGCAGGCCGGGCAATTGAAGCAATTGCGGGCACACCTGCAGCAGTCGTCAGTTTCGGGATTTGAAGAGGGAGTTGGCAGACATACCGGTTCCCCTCACTCTTCACCATACTGCTCGGAGTCTCGAACAGGCAGTTCGGACAGTACCAGCACACGATCTCCTCGGTGATGCATCGCGGACATTTGATCTGGTGGCAGTCCTCGCAGTAGAGGAGGTGTTCGGGGGGATAGAGGGAGAAGTTGGACCGAGGGGCGCGCGGATCGAAGGTCTGTTCGTCCTCGCTGTCGTCGAAGCGCGGCGGGGGTTTGGGCTGGTCGGGGTGATGGCTGCTGGCCTTCTGGGGGGATTCTCGCGAGCGGCGTTTCTTGGACGGATCGGGGACGGGGGTGTTGGCACAGGGACAGGAGATGTATGCGTAAGGGAAAGGACGCGACATGGTGGGAGTTGAGGGAATTGGGGGGAATCTATAGTAATGCTTGCATGCTGTGTCCGGTCAGCCACAGAGGCACGGTGAGGGGGATCTCGCATGCGACCATCAGGGGAGGCATACCTTGACGGGGAAATATTGCAACCGAGTCGAACACAAGACTCAATCAGACGCAGCTATTCATAACCTGCTCATGCTGTGGCTAAGATGCAGCGAGCACACGAAGGAGTAAAATAGAACCAAAGAAAACGAGGGGAAACGCGCCACAACAACAGAGAGAAGAGAGGAAAAGGAAAGGTCCAGCAAAATGCGGAGGAGGGCCCGATCTTCCGCCCCGACGTCACGTTCCGCCTCCGCCGTGACTTTTTGCCCGCCTTTCCTTTCCTCGAACACTTACACTAACTCCAGCCATCTCCCAATTCCTCGCAAGAGAGCTGGGCCATCATGTCTCTACGCCAATTCCTACGACCCGTGGTGCGATCGCGCCTCCCCACCACCACCACCACCACCACACCCGCAACAGCAACACCATCATGCCGCTCTCACCGGCGCAACTACGCCATGCAGACGCCCGGCAACCCGGTGCTGGAGATCTTCAACCGGCGGGTGAAGCACCTGCAGAAGGACCGGGCGGCGCAGAACGTCGACGAGAGCCGCAAGACCGATTACATTAAGGATGAGGTTGCCATGCGATTATGTGAGCGATTGCTGGTGAGGCTCCCTGCCACAGAACTACAAGCCCAGCCCAACCCCCCCGGCGCCGCAGAGCTCCAAGCTTCAACCCCCCCAAACCCAAACCCAACCCCACCCCCCACCGGCCTAACAAGACCCAAAAAACCCAGGACATCAAACGCACCTTCCCGCAAGTCCTCGACCTCGGCGCGAACAGCTGCAACATCGCGCGCGCGCTCACGACACCCCTACCGGACGAGTCCTCACCCACCGGCACGGCGGAGCCCCTGGCCAGCCGCATCTCGCACCTGACCTGCATCGACACGAGCGCGGCCCTGCTGAACCGCGACCTCGCCCTCCCCTTCAACACCGCCCTCCCGATCACGCGGCAAGTCGTGCCGGACCTGGAAACGCTGCCGTACGCGGAGAACAGCTTCGACGCGGTGCTGTCCTCGCTGAGCCTGCACTGGATCAACGACCTGCCCTCCCTCCTGGCACAAGTGAACAAGATCCTGAAGCCCGACGCGCCGTTCCTCGCGGCCATGTTCGGCGGCGACACGCTGTTCGAGCTGCGCACGGCGCTGCAGCTGGCCGATCTGGAGCGGCGCGGCGGCGTCACCCCGCATGTGTCCCCCCTCGCGGACGTGCGGGATGTGGGCGGGCTGTTGAACAAGGCCGGGTTCAAGATGTTGACGGTCGATGTGGAGGATATCGTGGTCGAGTTTCCGGACACGTTCAGCTTGATGGCGGATCTGCAGGCGATGGGGGAGGGGAATGCGATTCTGCACCGCGAGATGGGCCCGTTGTCGCGCGAGGTGCTGTTGGCGAATGAGGCGATTTATCGGGCGTTGCATATGGAGGACGGGGCCAGGGGCGTGCCGGCGACGTTTCGGTTGATCTACATGATTGGCTGGAAGGAAGGGGAAGGGCAGGCGCAGCCGTTGGAGAGGGGGAGTGGGCAGTTGAATTTGAAGGATCTTCTGGGGGGTGGGGAGTTTGGGCAGAAGTGATGCTGATGCCGCTGGAAAACAAAAAGTGTATGATATAGTCCCGAGCAAAAAAAGAAAAAAGATGGCGCACAATATATACGGTAACCTGGGCAGTTGACCATGAGATGGGATACGAGGTAAAATCATCTATCTCCCATTCGTACCACAAATCAACACACGAACAGCAACAAGCTAAACCGTCCTCCGATCCGTCATCACCCGCACAATCGACCCCGTCCCCACCAACTCCACCAACTTCTCATGCCAGCTCAGCAGCACACTCATCTGCTGCCCGCCGCCGCCCTCGCCGAGGTTGCGGCCCTGGATCTGCGAGAAGCCCGTACTCTGCGGCGAGACCGATTTGCGGGGGGACTGGGCGCCGCCGGCGACGGGGGAGGCCATGCCTTTATAGCTGGGGAAACGGTTAGCCAATGTCTCTAAATATCCCAAACCCCTCCCAGTTGATTAAGGCAGGGAGACGAACAGATACTTCATCAAACAATCCGCGCGCTCCGCCCCGCCGTCGGCGCCGGCGCACACCTCCTCCAGCACGCGGCTCACCTCGGCCTGCCGGATGCCCTGCAGCACCTCGGTGACGGCGGCCAGGTGGACCTCCTTGGCGCGCTCGTCGCCGCCCAGGGGCGCCGTGGCCAGCACGTGGCGCAGCGCCGCGGCCGGGTCGCCGCCGCGCAGCAGCTGGCGCACCTCGCCGGCCACGGCGGCGGCGGCGCTCGAGGTCGTCGCGGCCGGCAGGGTGGCGGGCAGCAGCGTGTCCATGGGGAAGTTGATCGAGGCGTCCGGGTCGAGGACGTCGATGTTGATTGTGCGGTAGTTGAGTTGGGCCATTTTCTGTTTTTTGGGGTGGGAGTGGGAGTGGGAGATGGGTGGTGGTGGTGGTGGTAGTGGTAGTGGAGGTGAGGGGTTGGTTGTTTGAATTGGATTGAGGAGTCAAGATGCGAAGGTTTGAGCTGGGATTGTGGAATTGTCTGGAGGCTTGGTTAGTAGGTGACGGATGTTGATGGTGGGAGATAGGTTGGGGACAGGCAGGCAGGCAGGCATCGTCATTACCACCGTCAGGTGGTTCCGCGGGGAAAGGAGTTGGACACCGTGGTTTGGTCGGGGATGGCACGAACCTCAAATTGGGGTGGGGTGGTTGATTGACAGGAGGCAAGCTCTGGTTGGCAACGAAAATCTGCGAAAGAAAAAAAAAACAACTATGCACAAACCAAAGGCGATAACAAAACAGGGAGAGTGAGCTGGAGATGCGCGGGATTCGGAGAGTAGCAGGAGGGAGAGAAGGGGAACGGAAGCGGGCGAGGCAGGCGGGCAGGCGGGCAGGCGGGCAGGCGGGCAGGCGGGCGGACATAAAAAGTGGCGGTGCGGAGACAAACCCGCCGGCCTGACCGCCTGAGGCAGCATTTTAGTTGGAGAAGTATACTAGGTCCAGTACACGTACGTATACACACACCCTCAATCCAATTTTCCGTTCCATTGCTGAACCTGGGTCTAGGTATCATATCATAATTCTCTATAGTACAGTAGATATCGTAGTTGTAGTGGCAACGCTCAAACGCTCAAGAAAGCCTCCCGCCCAAAGTACAAGTACACAATTTGCACGCCACCCCATAATCAAACATAGCAAGGTAGGAGGAGTAGAAGAAGCACAGTCAGGTGGCTGTACATGATTCATACAATTCATCAAGAGGTCGTGATGGTGATCGGAGGCACCGGGATTGTGGCTGCAGGCGCCTCAGGAGTTGACTCTCGTTTGAGATCCTGCAACGACGTGGTGGCCGCCTCTTCGTCCGGCAAGGCCTCGGCCTCGGCACCAGCAGCAGGATCCGCGTCCCGGCGCCGGGAGAATGCCCGCTTCGTAGTCCGGGTTAGGGACCGCACGGCGGATCTGACTCTCGCGGCGAGCCACCCCATCGCCCGAGTGATGGGCTTCGTGACAAAGGTGATGCAGCGCACCGCGAAGTTCAGCGCGATCTCGCAGGGTCGGTCCGGGGTCAGGCGCAGCACCACCGCCCACGGCAGACAGCCCAGGGCGCAGGCGATGCAGATCGCCCATTGCACCCCGTTCAGCCGGGTGACACCGAAGGCCTCGCCGCCCACAAAGACGATCATGATCTGCCCGCCGACCATGATGCAGTTGATGCCGAGGAACCAGTAGTTGCGGAACATGCCCTCGAAGATGTTGAGCTTGTTGTCGAGTCGGCGGTTGTTGAACTCGTTGAAGATCTGCATCCAGACGAACGTGTTGAACACGATCGTGTCCAGAACCAGCTGAGGGTCCTTGCTGCCCAGCTGGGAGCCGATGATGTGCTTCCCGCCGAAGTACAGCATGAAGGTGATGGCGAGCTGATAGAGCGCCTGGCCCAGGATCATCTTCCACATGATCACGGTGAACAGAGACGCACTCTTCGGGACCGGCTTGCGGTCGAGGATCTTCTCCGTCGGCGCATCGGTCGCCAACGCGAGTGCTGCGAACGTGTCCATGATCAGGTTCACCCAGAGGAGCTGCACCGCATTCAGCACACTTTGGTTGTCGCTGCTGGACAGCGAGGACACAAAAGTCAGAATGACGGCAGTGATGTTGACGGTGATCTGGAACTGGAGAAACTTGGCCACCGCATCGTTGACGGCACGACCCCATGCAATCGCCGTGACAATCGACTTGAAGTTGTCGTCGAGCAGAACGATGGAACTAGCCTCTTTGGCCACCTCCGTGCCTGCAATGCCCATGGAAAAGCCAACGTCAGCGGTCCGCAGCGCCGGTCCGTCGTTGGTGCCATCGCCGGTCACAGCGACGGTTTCGCCGAGTTTCTTGAGCCGGGCCACCAGGATCCGTTTATCCTCGGGCGACGAGCGTGCCAGCACCTGAAGGCGAGGGATCACTCGATCCATCTCATCGTCGGACAGTTGCCGGAACTTGGGGCCTTCCATGACGATGCCCTCTTCGGTCTTGATGCCACACGAGGAAGCGATGGCGCTGGCCGTGACAAGATTGTCGCCGGTGACCATCTTGACCTGCACGCCGGCCGCATGACATTTGCGAATGGCAGCTGGAACCTCAGGCCGAAGGGGGTCCTGAATGCCAACCACCCCGATCCAGGTCATGTCCTGGAAGACATCGTCGAACACTGCGGCCTCGGGCTCGTCTTCCATGCGTCTGACGCCGTGGGGAGGCCAGCTCGGGAAATCGCGATATGCCATTCCAATAGTCCGTAGCGACTGGCTGGCATACGATTCAATCAGTGCCAGCATCTCCTGCTTGTCGTACTCGTGCAACGAGTCGATGCCGAGCCCGTCTTTGCTGGAATCCTTCTCAGTAATGTGGGTCGCGCACGCACCCGCCATGATTTCGGCGGCGCCTTTGACAAGAAGGCGATAACCGACACTGGGCTCGCGATAGACCACAGCCATGCACTTGCGCGCCGAATCGAAGGGGAAGAGCTGAACAATCTCCGCCGAAGCACGCTCGAGCGTCACGTCCATACCAAGATGGTCTTTAGCCAGTTGTAGCAATGCCACTTCGGTCTTGCTGCCGATGAACTGCTTCTGTCCGTCCTTCTCTTCCTCAAAGGCGGTGGAGTTGAGCGCAACGCTTTTGGTGACCAGATCACGCAGCCTGCCCGAGCTCTGCTTGAAGAGCTCGGCGGCCGTAGAGCCTGGAGCGCTGTCGTCCACATTCTGGCTGAAACTCCTCGTGGCGAGCGTCCCTGCGACGACTGTCATCTTGTTCTGCGTGAGTGTTCCTGTCTTGTCCGAGCAGATGACAGTCGCGTTGCCCATGGTCTCACAGGCCCGGAGAACGCGGACCAGGTTGTTCTCCTTGACCATGCGGGTGGTAGCGAAGGCGAGAGCCAGAGTCACCGCAAGTGGAAGACCCTCTGCGATGCCGAATCAGTACGAGTTTCCGAATTTTAGATGAAAGCACCTACCAGGAATAGCAACGACAATGACCGTCACAGCCACGATAAGAATATCAACAAACTCTTTGCCCTTGACGGCGGGTGAGCCGCTGTTGTGCGGGAGGTCTGCGACGAAGCGGAAGAACAGGGCAAAGAATAGAATGATCGCGGCGCTGACAACCGTTAGCTAACGAGATTCAAAGAAAAGGATCTTCGCTCTTACCCTGAGCCCAGCCAACCGATCCAGTTAGCAAGCTTGCCCAACTTGACCTGCAGCGGAGTCTGATCGTCCGAGTCTTGCAAGGACAGCAGTATCCGGCCATACGTCGAGTAGGGCCCGACACTGGTCACCAGATAAGTGCCCACTCCCTCGAGCACCTTGCTGCCCGAGATCAGGAAAGGATCGAGTTTCTTCGTCGCCGTACCGGCCGCGAGGTGTCGGCCGACTTCATACCCGTCGGTCTTCTTCATCTGGTCCGATTCGCCGGTCGCAGAAGACTCGTCACATTTCACCCCGTGCCCGGAGATCAGCACCCCATCCGCAGGGATGGAGTCGCCCGGCTCGAGGTGCAGGACGTCTCCCACCGTGATGTCAAAGATGGAGACCATGGAGACCTTACCCGAGCGGACGGCCTTGACTTCTCGGTCGTTGTTCTGTCGCCGTCAGTCAATGTGGAATCCACAAAAAAAAAGAGGGCTGACACTTACTCTTTTGTTGAGTTTGGCAAACTGCCTCTCCTTCTGCCAGTCATTTGCGGCCGTCACAATCGTGACGATCAAGATCGCCACACAGATCGCCACGCCTTCGATCCAGTCCACGCCGCTCCCCTCGCTGGTTGTCTCGTAGATCCCGAGCGACAACGAGACGACGGCGGCGATGGTCAACAGGATGATGATCTTGTCGTTGTAGGCACGCCAGAACAAGGTCAGAAAGCCCGTCGACTTGCGCGCGGGCAGTCGATTCTGGCTGAAGACGCGAATGCGGTCCTGGAACTGTGCCTCCGAGCCGGATGTCGTGTGGTGGGCAGATTGCCGCTCTTTCTCTTGCTGGTGGTGCTCAAACTTCACCGAGCCATACCCCGAAGCAGCAGCGGTGGCATCTTCGAAACTCACCGACCCATCCAGCTGGGCCTCATCCACGGACAACCCCGAGGCCAGATCCGTGCGCAGGCCGCGCTCCAGCCCTGCGAGACCGCCCAGGGCCTGGAACGCGGCCAGCGACTTGGGGTTCTGCATCTTGTTGAGCTGGCCCGGCGAGAAGGCGAACTTGTTGTCTTCGACGAGAAAGTCGCCCTCCGTCCGCGGATCGGGGTTGAGCGCCTCGGCCAGCGGGACGTCATCGTAGGCTGTGGCTGTCTTGGTCGGCACGGCGGTCAGCTCCGAGTTGGCTCGGGATCGCACGGCCGTGTCGGCGCTGGAGATGGTCGAGTCCGCGCGGGGCCGCAGCGTCTCGCCGTCCAGGGAATGGGACGTCCTGGAGGGGTTGCTGTGCACCATGAGTCTGTCGGGGGAAAGAGCTGCCATCTCGGATGGCGTTGATGGACTCAGGTGTCCTGAGCCCGAGGAATGTGGGCGTTGCTGCTGCTGCTGCTGCTGCTGCTGCTACCATCGCTATCAACATATACTCCGACAATGATGACGGTGAGGGGGGGACAGCGGCAAACTGCTTGCCGCCGTTGGCAACGTACCTCTGTATCTGAAACCCCGGATGGGTTTAGAAACTCCGCCTGACGATGTTCGTCTGAAGGCTGCATTAAAGGGATCGACGCAGACTCTGATTTGACAGGGCAGGTGGTGAGGCATGCATAGACAGAAACCAGGGGAATGGGTAAATTCGGAGAGATCAAGGTGTTTCTGCGGGCTGATTGCCTAAAACTGGTTGTAGGGTCGGGTTTCCTTTGTTGTGGTAGTAGAAATGGGGGCCAACGCCCGGGTATAAGAAGAGGAAATCGGTAGAAAGGCTGTGCTGCGAATGGGACGTAATCAAAGAAAGGTGGTTCAGCACTGCGTTACTTGGTCCACAACCACCCCCCGGGCATTGCTGAAGGCAATAGTCTCCGCCAATGCCTTTGGGACTCTGACGGATGAAAGCGCTGGAACGGGCCAAGGGAAGTCTAAACAACGGGAAGAGGGGCGCAGCAGCAGAGTGATCCATAGGAAGGGGGAGGGGATGGGAGGGGGAGTGAATGAGGGGAGGGGAATTGAGTAGGTAGTAGGTAGTATTGTTGAGTGAGATGATAGAGAACTGAATGATGGAGGGATGAGTCTCAGTCAGTCATTCATTCTGCAGCTTTACACAGCCACCCTGCCTACCCTGCCGCCCTCCTATCACAACCCTTCTGGTGGAGGCAAACAATCCCTCTCGCGGCGGTTAATTCAATTAAATCCATGGCTACACCGATTCATTGGCACTTGCACTGGACTTGTATTGTAAATCATAAATTATTGAATATTAGCGTTCTTGAATTTTTTTTTTCTTTTCTTTTTTTCCCTATTATCTCCTACCTCCTCATCTCTCAGCCGCTGACCTCTTTGCCTCCCTCCCATTGCACCGTCCATTTGCCGCTTGAAGTATCTTGGAAACAAGATCCAGTCAGGTGATTTTCTTCTCCCTCGCTTCAACAGCATGCTCAAAGAGCGGTTGATGATCTCATGCGTTTGGGATGATTGGAAGTGCCTGACTGCCAGCAAGGCGCTTTCACGAGCCCAACTGCTCCATGCCAAGTGCAACCGACCAGAGTTTCAGTCCTGCTTCACCCACAAAGCAACCCATCAGACCCCACGCAAATCCAGCTCAATCTTCGTATTGCCATCGAGTCGTGCTCGGGGTGGTTTCTGTGCCACCGGCAACTAACACTCCATTAGCGAAGTCCGTCTCCGCGGCGTCCGCCTGAGCTTAGGTTGGCGGACTCGCTAGCCGGAGGCGAAGCAAGGGTTTTGCGACGACAGAAACCGGGATATGTGGGGACGACTCTGAGTAGTAGCCAAATGCCAATCATGGCGTGGTCTTGGGTGACCGACACTAATCAAATATCGGAATAACCCCATGGATTCCGACGGAGATAAACTACAGCCTGGACCGGTCCAAGGGAGGGGGGATGCTCGGCCACAACTTAGAGCAGAACTCTGACTTAGAGCATCCACGAGCTCTGCCAGATCGCCAACAGCTGCTGGACCGTCAGTCGCTATCTACCAGGAAGCCACTTACGGGAAGACTCAATAGGCCTAACGAAGCGGTCGGTTTCTTGGCCTCCAGGACGCATCTCAAACTCTCCTGTGAAACCATGGGACTTGTCGCGTGCTCATGTATGATTAAGATAGTTGACATACGTCAGCCCAGGACCATGTCCGTGGAAATCACGCAGAGACAGGAGACTGGCATATGGGTCAAAGCATCGCTGTTGTCTCAAGTCTTTCCGAATCCGATTGAACTTGTCCAGGCGACTTTGACTGCAATGTGTCGTGTCTGATGAACACATGCTTGCCTTGGATAATCTTTTCGTATATCGGTTGTTGAGGTAATGAGGCTAAGACCCCGAGAGAATAGATTGGGCGAAAGATCACCAGAGCTGTGGGTTCCACATAGTGATAGCACTGCCCCAAGGTATGTCGAACATGGTTTCTCAGCTCAGTACTTGTGTGGCTGACCCAGCGTGCCAGACATAGGCTGCTGCCCGATGTTTGCCTCGTCAACGTCGATAGATGTGAAAAGCGCTCTCCTGTCTCTAGGCAGTGGCTGGTGGTCAACTCTGGCGACAGGCATCTAGCTGAGACTTCATCCAGGCTGAGCATCATGATACCAGACCTGAGTCGCTCCACAGTTACGGTGAGACACAGACCAAGGTGGCTGTGCGGATTGCATCGACTTGCTGTATCAGGCAGACCGAGGATCATGAGAGAGCCGGCTGAGGCTTGTTCCTAGGTAAGGGGAGTTTGTCACCGTGAAGATTGACTCAGATTCTCTGGAGCACGATATCACTGTGTGCAATTCAAGTTGCCAACCCCATTCGACAAACATGTGAAACACCTTTGACCTTGCCTGTGGCTTGGTGCATGTCACGTTGCAGCGTCACACCGATTGAAGAGTACTATTGCTTGATAGAGCCATAAATTTGGCCGTCGTGGAGATAGCAATAGGGGATGAGAGTCGGGAATCCCCTTCTTCCCCGTTGTATTCTGCGAAGTGATATGCAAGCGGTGTCCGGAGTGTAGGATGGCAAGGCAATTGTGCAGGTGGTCGGGGTCGTGAGATTTGAGCACTGTTGAGCTGAACCACATCCAGAGAAGGCGGAGGATCAAGGCAGGAACATCCAGTCAACTGGTCAGACAATGGCAATGGCAATGGCAATGGCGAAGTGCGGACCGATCAAACTCCGCAATTCAAACCCGCTCGAAGGCAAAGCAGAAACCATGCACGAATCATGACGCGGATTCACAAGAATGAATATGTAATGCAATGAACAAATCAGCAGTACCGATCGGGCCAAACCAAAGAACAACCAACGAAGCACGACAGTTCAATGTCCATCTTATCAGTCAGTCGGGGAGGGGATCCGCCACCGGAAGCGGAAATCAAATTCCAATCAGCCAGTCGCGTCCTGCAGAAAGGCGGGACCGTTGAAGCATAACAGAAATGCCGAGGCTCGTCCGTCGAAGTGAGGTCATTATACCGGGTACTACTGTACATAAGACATAAGAAGTGGATAGAAGGTATGTGTATGTGTGTGTGGATCCTCGACGATTTTTTTGGAGCTTTCCCCTGATTGACCTACAATCCGGCTTAGAAATACAAGTCGCTATAATATGGATTGCTTAACAATGTTCCAATTATCGGGGTCAACCCACCATACTATAAGTTCCTGTTTAATTCCTCCACGTTACTGTCCTGTTCGGTACGCAACACACTGCACATAAACCCTACCTTGTACACTATCCCCCCCCCATATCCCAGCCACACAATAATCCTTCCCAAAATGTCACAGGCCGGCACCCCCGTCGACGTCACCCCGCTGGCGCAACCGCTGCATTTCGAATTCTCGCAGCGCAGCGCGCCCAACCGCTTCCTCAAGGGGGCGATGAGCGAGCGGCTGTGCTCGTGGTCGGTCGAGGACCTCGCCGCGCGCGGCATCCCGTCGGACGAGCTGATCGAGGCGTACCGGGTGTGGGGCGCGGGCGAGATCGGCCTCCTCCTGACGGGCAACGTGATGATCGACCCGGCGCACCTGGAAGCCCCGGGCAACCTGATCATCCCCGCGGACGCGCCCTTCGAAGGGGATGAGCGCTTCGCGCGCTTCCAGCAGCTGGCCGCGGCGGCCAAATCTTCCGGAAACTCGCTGCTCGTCGCGCAGGTCAGCCACCCGGGCCGCCAGACGCCGGCGGCGCTGCAGCCGCACCCGATCAGCGCCAGCGACGTGCAGCTGGAGGGCGTGGTGCTGGGCAGCACCTTCGCCAAACCGCGCGCGGCTACCGAGGCCGACATCCAGCAGGTCATCAAGGGCTTCGCGCACGCCGCCGAGTACCTGGACAAGGCGGGCTTTGACGGCATCCAGCTGCACGGCGCCCACGGGTACCTGCTGAGCCAGTTCCTGTCCGAGACGACCAACCGCCGCGCCGACCGCTACGGCGGCGCCCTGGAGAACCGCATGCGCCTGATCCTGGAGATCCGCGCGGCCATCGCCCGCCGCGTGCGCCCGGACTTCGTCGTCGGCATCAAGGTGAACAGCGTCGAGTTCCAGCCCAACGGCTTCCAGCCGGAGGAGGCGCGCCAGCTGTGTCGCACGCTGGAGGACCACCGGTTCGACTTTGTCGAGCTGTCCGGGGGCACCTACGAGAACTGGAAGATGGGCGATGACGAGAAGCGGGAGTCCACGAAGAAGCGCGAAGCTGTAAGCCCCCCTCGATTATTTCTAGCGCGGATTCTAGCCAAGTAACTAACATACTGCGACGACAGTTCTTCATGGACTTCGCCCAGATGATCGTCTCCTCCCTCAGCAAGACCAAGTCCTACCTGACCGGCGGGTTCCGGACGGCGGAGGGCATGGTCCACGGCCTGGAGACGCTGGACGGCGTCGGTCTGGCGCGTCCTCTCTGCCAGGAGCCGTACCTGTGCCGGGATATCTTGAGTGGCAAGGCGACCGGGGCGCTGCAGCAGGTCATCAACCCCTACGATTTCGGGCTGACGGCCGTGGCAGCGTGCATCCAGATCCGGCAGATGGGGCTGCGGCTGGCGCCGATCGACCTGAGCGACCAGCAGCGCGCCGACCAGCTGGTGCAGGCGGTGGTGGCCCGCACGCAGCAGAAGGGCAAGGACTTCTCGCAGGAGGCTGTGTGGCCTCCGCTGATTCCGGATTATAATGTGCCGTTGGCTGTGGAGGCTTAATTTTTTTCGGCGTAGACTAGACTAGACTGCTCAAGTACAGTACCTAATATGCGAATGACTGTCGGGCCGAATAACCCAATCCCAGTGAAGTGTTGCCATAACAACTCTCCCCTCCATGAGTTGAGAGAACAACCACTATCCTTAGAGCATCTAGACAAAACGATCCAGCAAAGACAATCAACCATCACAATCCGACCTAGCGCAGAAAACCTAGACTAACTACATGTCAGTTAGAGTACCGTACCTTTAGATCAACAGTAAGCACTTTAACTTCCATACTGTAGTAATGGCACGTGGACCCCTCCCCTCCCCACCCACACTTACCCCTCCGCGTCCGTCCCAACCCTAACTCACATCCAGATCTCGAGAAACTTAGATCGGAGATCCAACCCAACCAACAAGAAACCTCAACGCCCCAACATCCTGGGTCACTTCCTTGCCACCTAGGCACAGTACTCCCCTAAATCCCCGTGGCTATGCAAGCACCAACCGCCACACCCCGCCAATACCTCATGGAAACGAACCCGACCAGCGGGACCCGCACCGCCACAACGGGTGGCTGCACCAGCCACAGGATGTACTGTACTGTGTACAGGACTGCTGCGCCACATCGTTATGTCATTCTCCCCGGGCATCAACCGAATCGGTAAATTATACTACTGTACGCATGAGCAAGATAATGATAAAGCATGGTGGCAAGGGCATGCCTGTCACCAGAAGTGCGAGTCGTGGCGCAGTTGGCCGAGCAGAGGAGCTCGCCTGATAACAGGCTTGCTGGGCATCAGACGGCATGATTATTGCTGGGTGATGTGTAACTTGGGTACATGTACTATCATCACACGGTGGCTGCACACAGCCTTTACTGTACTGTACTGTGTGCATCAGGGACCGAATACCGGGTAAGACCGCGAGGCTTTCAACTCTGAGCTGATCTGATTGTCATCAGCGGGCTGCATCATTGCACGGAAGGCTGTGGTTTAGGACCAGGCAACATCGTTCTCCAGCTTCGGTGCTCAGCACTAGGCACTACAGCTGGGATCAGATCAGCCTCTAGTCAGACAGATCCGACAGGGATGATGGATCGATACCCAGCCCAGCCCAGCCCAGCCCAGCACGCTCTCAGCCACTAGCATACGCATACAGCCCAGCCCAATTCTTATTATCACAAGCAAACCTAAGCATCCATAACCCCCAACCCCGCAAACCGATTGCCCAACCCACAGAACCACTCCTTCTCTTTCCCGACCACCTCACCCTCGTCCTCTCTCCCGTAACCACCACCACCACCACCACTACTCCTCCCCTCCCTCCCCCCCAAAACCTCCTCCATCGCCCACGCAATCCGCTCAGCCCCAAGCCTGGCGCCCTCCAAATTCGCCGCCCCCGGCCCCAGGCGCAACGCCGCCAACCGGCCCGCCAGAAACAGCGGCACGCCATCGCACCACATCAGATCCTCCGTGAGACACGGCAAGCCCTGCCTCGTCTCGACGGGATAGTCCCTGCGCATGCGGTCCAGCAACGGCATCTCGGTGACGTCCGCCCGCATCCCCGTCGCGAAGTAGATGTAGTCGACGGGGGTCTCGGCCAGCTCGGGGATGGGCGGGTCGGTGATCAGACGCCAGGTGCGGGTAGCAGCATCGTAGACGCGGTCGGTGATGGTCGTGCGCGGGTGGATGGCCAGGCGTCCGCCTCCACCGCCGCCGCGGGCCGCCGCGGCGGCATGCTGCTTCAGGATCTTCTGGTAGCGCGGGGTGACGCTGCCGCCGCCGCGGGCCGCGGCGATCATGGCCAGACGCTCCTCGTCGGTGTCCGCGGACCAGAACCGGGCTTTCTCGAGGTTCTTGAATTTGCCCATCCAGTTGAGGGAGAGGTCGAAGTGTTTGACTGCGCTCATCAGTTTTAAAGGTTCGACTGAGGGGGAGACGAAAGGGGCGCGGGGAGTAAGGGTAGGGTTAGGAGGGGACAGGGCTCACGCACCCTTAAAATCCGACCGCATCAGCAACCACACCTTGCGCACCCCCCTCCGAACCGCCATATCCGCCACCTGGGCGGAGGTCAGCCCGCCGCCCACGACGACCACGTGCGTGGGCTGGCGCTGCCGGATCTTGGCCTGGACGTTGGCGCTGGGGAACGCGCGGATGTCCGAGCTGTGGCAGGCGCCCTGCTGCTCGGTGGGGGTCAGCGCGAACGGGAGGATCTTCTGCGGGCCCGGCCCGATGGCGAGCACCACGGCGCGGCTGTAGTGCTGCGTGCCGTCGGCGGCGGTCACCGTGAAGACTTTGGACGTGGCCGAGTCGGAGTGCGGCAGGTGCCCGTACTGGATGTCGGTGACTTCGCTCTGGCGGATGAGCCCCGGGCGGTCGAGGCGGTACCGCGCGACGATGCTGGCGCAGTAGTCGGCGAAGAGGCCGGTGGACGGGGAGAAGTAGTCCTTGCGGTCTCGTTCGTCGATTTCGGGCTCGGTGGGGGGTTTGCTGGCGTTCGTCAGCACACAAGTAAACGCAGTCCCCCTGGCCCACCGGTCCGATATCAGGTAGATATTCCCCCTCCATAGAAAACGCAATTGGAATCCAGGGCAAACTCACCCCCTCCCCCCCCGCAGCTTCTTCCTCCGATGCTTACTCAACTCCTTCCCCACGCACCCGGAAATCTCCCACAGATCCCCCAGCCGGTCTTCTTCCTGCGAATACGCCAGCATCCCATCGCGGTCCCGCGGATCCACGTGGAAGAACATGGGGCTGCGCAGCTGCTCGATCTCCAGCGTCCGGAACGCGCGGTGCCACTTCTCCATCCACCGGGGGCCGGAGCCGTCCAGCACCAGCGTTCCGTCGGCTTCACCCTCTTCTTCAGCTCCTTCCTCATCCTCATGCCCGGATACGGATGTATCCGAGGATTCTGACGAAGAGGAGGACCCGGACGGAACCAAGCCAGGCACGGAATCTGAACCCGAGCCCTCGTCGGAGGGAGGGCCTGAGCCCTCGGAGGCAGAGCCAGCCCTATGCTTCTGCCGATCCCTACCCTCCAAGACAGCTGTGGAAGTCCCGAGGGCGAGGGCCGCAGTATTGACGTACCGCTCGGCCCGCACGCCCCTCCGCCGCCGCGCGTGCGCCTGCACCAACGCCATCCGGCCCCGGTGCTTGTTGATCCAGTGGTAGCGCTGGTGCTCGTCGTCGGTGAACATGGCCGAGGGCGTCTCTTCGCGGAGGCGGGCGGCGACGGCTAGGCCGCAGGGGCCGGCGCCGATGATGAGGACGGAGTGCAGGGGTTGGGGGTGGGACATTTTCTTTCGTTTGGGGTGGGTTTGGGTAGCTGTTCTTGGTGGTGGTTGTGGATGTTCCCGTTGTTGGCGTGGTGTGGTGGAATTTCGAGGATGATGACGATGGTAGGTCGGTAGGTCGGTAGGTTGGTAAGTGGTTGATCTTCGGATTGCGAGGATAGGGTTAGCGTTCAGGGAGCATGAAGTCGATTTGAGTTGGAAATAGAGTTGGAACAACAGTTGAGGGAATAATTGAGGGTATAGTTGAGTGAATACTTGAGGGAATAATTGAGGCAATAACTGAGGGAATAATTGAGGGAATACTGGAAGAGTTGAATAAAGACTCGACATGCAGGGTGCGTGGTTATCAATGGCAAATGGCAGTAGGTAGGTAGATACTGTGGAAGCCCTACTCCCCCGGGTACTCGATCCCAAGGTCCTTGTCCCTGTGCTGCATTGCTGAGCTCCTGATCTTGAGGTCGCGGCGTGGTGTCATCGCGGCGATCATGGGGACCTTGAAGACGTATACTCCCCAGAAATGCAAGATCTACTCCTTGGCTGTTGTGTAGTTCTTCCATTATGGATACGAATTTGCCTCTATAGTTCTTCCATTGAGTATGCAGTTAATCACTACAGTTCTTCCATGTGGATAGAGTTAGTCACTATCAACCATAAGAAAGGCCGACTCAGTATATCAATCGAATACATTACTCAAAACATTATTTAGCTCTTCGGCAGCACCGCACCCCCCACTCCCTATTTATGCCACTTCTTCGTCTTCGGCTCCGCAGTCATCGCTCGCGATCGAGGCCCCCCGCCGCCCTCGCGTCGATGCCACGCATCCTGCGGCCACACCCAGCCCCGGACGCGCTTGGCGTCCCGACGCTCCCCGATCTGGGGCTCAGGGATCCATTTGTCCTTCCCATCAGGCAGAACCCGCTGCCGCGTCAACGCCCCCGGCCCCCCCACGTTGAGATGCGCCGACGGCTGCGACGGTAGGGGCACCGACTTCGAGAGCATGAGCAGAAAGTACAGCGCCATGCTCGCCGTCATCGGCCCGTCGAGCTCATCGGACGACATATCGTAGTTTCCCAACACCGGGGACTGACTTGCCAAGGAGCTGTCGCTGGACGGGGCCGGGGAATGCGGATACGTGCATCGGTCCATATGGTAGTCTGTCTCACGCGACTGGCCAGCGGCTAGCTTGGTAGGGATAGGCGCAGACAGCTCCAAATACCCAAAATATGGCACATCGTCCCCCTCGTCGCAGCCCGCTCGCACGCAGACGAGCTCGATCTCGGTCAGGATGAAGCCGTACCGGCACGAATGCTCCCGCATGCACCGCTGCAGATGCGCCAGGCCGTTCAGATACTCCACCCGGCGGTGGGGCGCTTCATTGCGCATCCCCGTGTTCCACCGATCAAAGGTCTTGACGATCCCCACCAGTCGCCCTCGCGGAAGGCCGGAGCTGGTCCGTTCGGTGTCGGAGGCGTAGTTGGCAAGGAAATGCGGACCTCCGTAGTTTTTGTTGCCCGATACCCGCGGGATGGGAGCATCGTAGAGCGTCAGATGCTCAGGGCCCTGCGAGACCGCCAGCGCCGCGTTGACGCGAGGAGCGTAGATGTCTCGTAGCACATTGATCAAGCCGGCTTCCGAGTCGGGAGACAGGTGCGAGCTGGGCAGTACGTTCACCGGCGTAAATTGTGACGGAATTGCGGTTTTGAGAAGCTTCGAGAGTCCATCCACTTGGTTGATGGTTTCCAGGGAGAACGACGACCAGCTGCGCAGGTTGCGAATATCCCACCAGAAGTAGTCGTGCAGCCCTCGTGTCGGGATCACGCTCACATTGCGAACAAGATTGACCGCTTGCGTGGGGGCCGTAAGGTAGGAAAGTAACGTGGTCGATTCCCCTTCCATCGGGTGAAATGATCCAACGGGCGAGCATTGAGCACTGGGCGTTCGCGTGCAGCTGTAGGGTGAGCCTGGCAGCATCAACGGCATTGGGACCTGGGCGGGAGGCCAGGTTCGGAGATGGGTTGGCTCAGCGGGTGAATGCTCAGCATAGGCTGGATACACTATGATATCCGGGGTGACTGGCGTGATAGGCGCGGTGAGTGTACCCTGAGGCTGGACAGAGCACCTGGTAACTTGCCGGTAAGTTGAGCACCCATACCGGCCCATTTTCGCTTCGTCGATGATAGATGTGGATACCGATCGAGAGTGGCCGCCAACGGCTTTGCGTTTGTACGAAGGCGTCAGACTCACCGGCGATGACAGAGCTGGGCTGTTCTGTGCCTTGTACATCGGTGGGACAGAAGCAGGCGATGATAATGCAAGATATTCCGACGCCGTGGTCCGCTGGTTAGACCGCGAGGTGGGGATCGTTGGTAGAGCACCCGGAGGGTTGCGTGTGTTGGAGAGCACACGACGCTGACGGGGCGGTCCGTTGGTAGATGTTGGCTCAATCACTACATCCTGCGGCCTGATCTTGGGAAGCAGGGCAGGACCGTGGTGGTGCCGCGGAGGTGAGCTGATGATAGGACTCGTCGCCACAGTAACAGCTGACCATGGTGAAGAACAATTAGAGTATAAAGAAGAGTCGGATGCGTGGCGGCTATGGCTCGCGCCAATAAATCCTTGCAACTGCATCGCAGGAGGGGTAGAAGGCCGATAGTAAGACAGTTCGTGAGACATGGTATTGGGCTTGAGGTAATCGAAGGTTGGATATGTGCAAGAAACTCGGCGAATGTATTATCAAGGAAGGACCAGCTTCCAAGTCTGTAATGAAGAGAAGCTTACTAGTAGCTAAGCAAGAGAAGTATTGAAAGTAACCAAGGAGATGCCGACGTATGCTAAGATTCACTCATGGTCTTCATGAACGCTCACACTGGTCATGGCGCATTTGGATGGAGACGGCATTGACATTAAATGCTCTTTGCTCTGCTACCCTTACGCACCATCTTGTTCCAAAAAAAGGAACAGCATGGCCCGAACCGGCTGCAGATGAGATGAAACATGGGGAGATCTCCATCTTGACGCCAGACCAGCAGTCAGTCCATCGGTCTAGGGCATGATGGCACGAGGGTCGGTCCAGGGACTGCCGACATCTGCTGGAGGGAAGCGCGATGCAAACGGTCCTAGGGCGAGTGGACGTGTTTCATCTGGCAGTCGCGCGTCAAGGTGTTGCTATATTTTGCATCTTCGTCTCTTCTTCAGATCTGAACCAGAGTGTCGGTTATCGGTGCAGATGTTGGTTCGTCAAGATCTAAAAAAAGACCTGAATTCGGCAGCAATTCCGTTTCATCTATTCTGGGTAATTGCACCTAAATTGATCAATGTACAGAGTTCGCGAGAGCGTCACGCCTGGTTCGTCGAGGTCAATGGGCGGCAAGGAGGTGCTTATGGGCACAACCAGTTGACCTGGACCAGTATGTCTTCATGGCGCATAGAGGGAGAGTGACTGCAAGGTTAGGCGCCGAGGGGTCTGTGGAACCACAGCCATTTCCACGCGCATTGGCTGTTACTAAGCACGGCCGTCAGTATCAAGCACCAGGCGGCATGACTTCAACAGCAGATTCATCCTAAGAATATACCAGGGGGAAAGCAGGAAGGAAAGTGAACATATGAGGGTCATCCAAGATGTCGCAGTAGGCGCCGGCCAATGTTGACCTCGGCGCCAGGCGGCCTCAGTGGTTCTTCCCTCACGAAAACCTGCAAGCAAGCGTGGGGTTGCTTGAAATTGAGCAAATCATGTCAGATCCTGATGTAAATTAGGGAGAATATCTGGTGTGTCGTGAGAAGTGCAGAGTCAAGTCGCTTGAAGAATACAGAAGAATGAAGAATGAAGAAGAAAGGCCAAGCAGCGGCGAACGTTGATCAAGCCGGCGGGGAGTAAAACAAGGAACTTGCTGCAGTTGACCACCACAGAGCACACAAATCGAGAACATGAGCAGCTTTCAACTTTGTCAGCGAATTTAATTCACACAGGCAATTCCTTCGCTGTACTGATCAATTATGCGTTGAAGAAGCTGGCTGAGCGTCCGAGGCGGGAGTCTTGGCCAAATATGCACGTGACTTATCTTAATTAGATTGTCATCGAAGGACAAAACATACAAACACCAAGAAAGCTTCGGAGTGAATAAATCTTTGATTATCTAAGATAAGAGCAAGGCCCTTATATGAAATGCATCCCAGCACCCGTCTGGGGGAGTCTGAAATCGGCCTCCATCCGAAGGCAACAAATAAAACAGTATGTAGAAACATTAAGCGCCATAACATTTGGCATGGGAATCAAACCGAGAACCCGTCAACCTCGAATCCTTGAATCCTTCTCAACGGAACTCAATGGTTGGGTTAAGGTAGGCAAACAAAATCATCATGCATGCTGGAGGGAATCTAGAAAGTCGTCTAAAGAACTGATCATGTCCAAAGAAGCACAGCTAGTCGTCATTTAGGCCTTGACCTCGTACTTGCGGCGGAACATGTCGTCCACCTCAGTCAGGTAGTAAGTGCCGGGGAAGAGAGTCTCCGTGTTGCCGGAGGGCTTGAAGTTCTTCTTCAAGTGCGCGTGCTTGCGGAGGTCGCACATCTATTTCATCACCATTAGCATTCTGCAACGGAAGATCAGCGGCTCGATGGGTCCTTACCTCAACATAGGACTGGGGAGGAAGAACAACGCGGCTGTTGAGACGGTTGATCAAGTCGAGCTTCTCAACGATGGTCGAGACATCACCGACAACCTTGGCGCTGAGCATAGAACTAGCGAGACCACTGCCGTAGGAGAAGATACCAACGCGCTTGGGCTCGCTAGGGTCGAACTTGACGTAGGACAGCAGACTGGCCAGACCGGCCCAGACGGTACCGGTGTACATGTTACCGCAGAGAGTGGCAACCTCGATGGCGGGCTTGACGCGCTCAGCAAAGCGCTTCTTGGTCAGAGCCATGAAGGTCTTCTCAACGTTCTTGTCGGTGAGGGACTTCTCGTAGTCCAGGTCACGCAGCTCAGGGGCGACCTCGGCGAAAGCGGGGTGAGTGGGGTTGGCGAGGAAGTCGTTGTAAAGCATACGTCCGTAAGACTTCTGGACCAGCTTGCAGGTAGGGGCGTGGTAGGCGAAGTAGTCGAAGCGGTCCAGGCCGGTCTTGGACTCGTCAGACACGCCGTTGGTGCCGTTCTGAGCCTTCTCCTTGAGTACCTTCTCACGGGCGTTGAAAGCCTTGTAGCAAGCATCCACAGCCTCGGTGTAGCAGCGAAGAGAGAAGTGACCGTCCACGACAGGGTACTCGCTGGTCAAGTCGGGCTTGTAGAAATCGTAGGCGTGAGTGACATAGGAGGCACGCAGAGCGGTGTCGAGCACAATGGGGGCGTCGGGACCGATCAACATAGCAACACAGCCAGCACCGCCAGTGGGGCGGGCAGCACCCTCGGCGTAGAGAGCGATATCACCACAGACAACCACGGCATCTCTGCCATCCCAGGCAGAGGACTCAATCCAGTTGAGACTGTTCAACACCGCGTTGGTGCCACCATAGCAGGCGTTGACGTTGTCGACACCTTCAACGTTGGTGTTACCGTGGGGAGCCAGGAGCTGCATCAGGACCGACTTGACGGACTTGGACTTGTCCAGAAGGGTCTCAGTGCCAACCTCGAGGCGGCCAATGGAGTTGGGGTCGACATTGTATTTGCGGAGGAGCGAGGAGAAGGTGGTCAAGCAGATGGAGTAGATATCTTTGGAGACAAGCTCAATCAGCAATGAGTTCCAGAAGAATTCAACCCAGGAAAAGCATACCTTCACGGTCATCGCAGAAGCTCATCTTGGTCTGGCCCAGACCAATTGTGTATTTGCCTTCGCTGACGCCATCGAACTTCTCGAGCTCGGCCTGGTCAACGCACTGACTAGGGAAGTAGACCTCAATGGCCTTGATACCGATGTTCTGGGGACGAGCAGCCATGGTGAAATATGAGAGGGGGGGAAGTGGGATGGTGGGGAAGATTGAAGTTTGATTAGGAGGATTAATAGAGAAAAGAACTTTTGTAGTGTTTAAGGAAAATCACAGAGAAAGAAAAGAAGAAGGGAAGAGAGGATGGTAGTGAGAATGAGAGAGGATTTCTAAGTAAAGAGGAAGAGAGAGAAGAGGGGGCGAGTCGGTATATAAGTTGTAGGAGTGCGAGTGCAAGCTGGCTGGTAAGGTACAGTGGTAGTCTATCTAGAGTGGGTTGAACTACGGAGACTGTTAACTACACAGTAAATACTAGCACGTCCCGGGAGTACTGTACATCCAAATTATTTTCTTTTTTTTTTCTTTTTCTTTTTCTTTTTTTTTTTTTTTTTGCCCCCGTTCCTTGACTTACCTTAGGCTAGCAAGACTAACTAGCCTGCAGGGGGTGGGGCTTGCCGATAGCCCCTGGTTGCTGGTTGGCGGCTGGGTGGCCTGAGGCTGGCCCGAGTCCAGTCTGATTTCTTCTTTTCTTTTTCTTTGCACCACCCACATGTGGTGTGCTGCTGCTACTGCCCGGTTCCGAATCTACTCATCCTCAACCGCAACGTGGGACCTTACTATGTATAACTATAAATCAAATCCTACTCCCACTCCTACTCTGCTATAGTATATTGAAGATGAACAGAGCTCAACATCCTCCTATTCAACCCCAATTCTACCTGTGCCATCTAAGATGACGCGGATGAGACAATTTTCTCGGAATGTGCTCCAACAGTCAGATCCACCTCCTAATTTCCACACTTGTTCATCTGAAGGTGTCCAGGATCTGGTATACGCCGTACTCTTCATCCTATCTCCCGATGCGGATGGATGCGAACTGTTTCGATCCAACCACAGCTGACCCCCCTCAGCGCATTATTACACAACCTGCCTTGCCCTTTCTTTAGTCTGACCGACTTGTGTTTGTTATGGAAAGGATCCGTAGCTAAGAAAGAGTTTACTTTACCCCCCTCCGTCTCCGTTTCCTGGGTGCTTCCTTTTCACCGACACTTACGGAGGTAAATCGCGGTATATTCGGTCCACCACAACATTTTCCTGCACGTCACTTTGCGAACTGACACCACGTAGTTGTTCAAACTGACAACAAATCTATCTTGTCACTGCAGTAGCTTCGTATGAGCTATCAGACTGCGGGAGCAGATCTTATCCCACAATTGGTGGTGTTTTCCTGTGGTACTGCTCGGTTGCTCTCGGGTGCACATGGTCCAGTACAGGAACATCTCCCAGCTTTGGCCTACACCTATTGTTCTCACGGACAATATAGAAATACTCCCGTGGCCTCTGATCCAACACGCAAAATTGTTTCCCGCTCATGTCTGGACGCATGGTGGGGGTCATCGGTCATTGATCCACCTCTTCCTCCCTTCTAACCACCCCAGTCCCTGCTGTCTTTCGGGTCACTCGGGCTTGTGATACGATAGGGTGAATACCTGTCGAACCTCAACAAGGGAAAGGTATTCTGAACGTCACGATGGTCTGCATTTCTACGTCAGGGCTACCGAGCCGGGGTGCCAGACCTAGATACAGTATGTCAGCTTACAACAGCCACAGCCACAGCGACAGCGTCAAGGTCCCAAGCACCACTAATTCAGATGCTGGATTTGAATCCTCTGTTATGCCTAATAATATCCACCCGAGGGCCGGAGGGTGAGCAGGTTACCAGAGGGATTGGGCCTGGCGAAATAATCAATCTTATCTTGTGGATCTGGCCGGTGGGATCTGTATAGGACGCTCCATTCTTGCCGAGATCGCTCTTTGCCCAACCCTCCAATTTGGCAACTTCCCAGACAGGATTTCCTGGTGGGTTCGGATTTCCAGGGAGCGAGATGGAACGACTCTGTCCAGTGTCTGCCTTGTCAATATCCACCCGCCACCTCTACGTTTTGAAAGAGTTTTTCCCGAAGCCAGGAAAAAAGGTCAATGACTCGGTGATGGGCGTGGCTGCCGTTGCCCCTCTCGTTTGACATCCCTCCTTCCACATGTGTCTCTTATATGCCCAGAAGAATTAGCAGAATACATTCCATGTACCTTGTAATAGTGAGGTTCCACTTGCTGCGCAAGTCCTCGCCATGGCCTCCAATCTTGTTCCAGCATCCAGTGAAGTTGTCAAGGTCGGAATCATTCCGGGTCACGACGGCAGATCCTGACATCCGGAGACAAGTTTGAAAACAATGCAGTGTAAGACATTGAATGGTCTGTCTAACCCGAGGGAGATTAGATCGACGGTTGTCTCCGATTTGATGTAGGTACTCGAATACTTTTGTCGAAGTCTCGAAGTAATAAAGGATGATTTCGGCCACATTCAGGCGCACTAGAAACATTGTAAGCGGATCTTTTGCGTGGATTGTAGGACCGTATTCAGACCTCGCATTCGATACATTTTCTATCTTGTTGCCAAGTCTATAATCCTAGCACGCCTGCTAGACCTTCTTACTAATGTATGGACGACTATGCGGCCATCTTTCAATCCCCGAGGACAGCAGTAACGTCGCTGGTAAGTACATAACGGTACAAATCAAAATACCGAGCATACTCGCGGTAATCATGCTGATAAGGACAGATTTAGGGCGTATGGAACGTGTATTCGAAGCTCCGTACCGATACCGCCTAGAATACTTGCGGACCTACCGATGAGGTCCTCCTCGTCATGCACCAAATGATTCTCCTGTTCATTATGCAGTACCATCATCATCATCGTCGTTGTCGCCATTGAGACTACATACATCAGCATAACCGTTGGCAATGTCGATCCTCGACTGTGTGTGCCCTGACGATCCGGTCGGGAGAAGTCTGTTCCAGGAACACTTCTGCCTAAGGAGAGCCGAGCCGGAGCCAACTGAGTGAGTGAATGGATGGACTGCGCCACGCATTAGTTATCCCGTAAGCCTCTCTCTTCTCACTGTCTCTCTCACTCTGACGGGCGGCTTGATCCGGGGAAGACCAAACCGAACTCAAACTAATCATCTGTCCTCCACCATCATTCATCTCCCTATCGATCGATCCAGGTCGCAACTGCCCCGTTATCGGGCTTCTTCCATTCTTTTCCCCAAGCCCCATTGCACTGCTGACCATTCTGAATGCCATTAATCGCATTCTAGAATCCCTGAACCATCGGCTTCCCCCCCATCCCCATCCCCGTCCCTTTCTACCTCACCCAATCCCCCATCCCCCCCTCCTCTATCGTTTCGGGGGGAGCTCCCCTTGCCAATCATTTTCTAGGCTCGCCACTCTGGGAGCATGTTTGCGCTTGTATCTTTTGCCTCATTCAGATCATGATCCCGCTGGTTCTCCGCTGATTTCGGTATCTGTGATACTATCTAAGTCGCACGGCTCCCGGGAGCTCGATACCTCCCGCCATGGGTAACGATCAGAAGTTTGAATACGAATCCCTGCCGATTCCTACCTACGAGGAGGCCGTCGGTGCCCGTCCTGGCTCTTCCCGGTCCCATCTCGATTCGTCCGACGAAGCAGGCGACAATGCTGAACGACAAGGCCTTCTTCACCGGAGTGGTCCGGACACCACTCCGCGGCCGGAGGCCCGACCTCGTGGCTATCAGCCTCCCACCGTCGAGTCCGCCCGGAATAGTATCGATGACCTCGACTCGGCCGGCTCGAGATCGGAACGCGGGTCCATGGAGGAGTTGCAACGGGAACTCGATCAGATGGACGTGGAAGATGGCCCGCAGTCATCCTCCCGCCGCTCACAGTTGCGGTCGCGGTTCTCGAAGCGCTTCAACAACTTGACCCGCTCCCTCTCCTCCTTCAATCTACCGTTTCGCCGCTTCCTCCCTACGTTTCGGTTCACGATACGTCTCGACGATGCTCGTGCAGGGCTGAAGAACAATGCGTGCATGATATTACTACGTCTTTTCGGGGTGTTCCTGGTGGTCACCGTTGTGTATATCTTCTTCATATCGGACATCTTCAACATGAATACTCGATTTATCATGGGTCAGTCCTACAGTGCCGCGTCCGTGGAGAACTTTGTCCAGGGACACATCAACGAGACCAATATCGCCGAGAATCTTAAAAAGCTGACCGCCTACCCTCATATGGCCGGTACGGAAGGCAGCTATGTGCTTGCAGAATGGGTGGAATCGGAATTCAAAAAGGCGGCGTTCGACGAGGTGGAAATGGAAGAATTCCAGGTGTACTTGAACTACCCTACTACCGACGGCAGACGGGTGGCTATTGTGGACCCACCTCAATTGGCCTGGGAGGCAGCGCTGGAGGAGAAAGAAGAGCAAACGCTGGTTTTCCACGGACATTCAAAATCTGGGAACGTCACGGGCCACCTTGTCTACGCCAATTACGGCTCTCGCGAGGATTTCCACTACCTAGCAGAGCAAGGCATCGACGTGATTGGATCCATAGCGCTGGTTCGCTACGGAGGCACGGAGTCTGATCGTGCTCTCAAAGTTAAGGCCGCGGAACTTGCTGGCGCGGTAGGCTGCATCATTTACTCGGATCCGGCGCAGGATGGCTTTGTCCGCGGTCCTGCCTACCCCGAGGGACGTTATATGCCGGCAGATGGAACTCAACGTGGAGCAGTCAGTCTGATGTCGTGGGTCGTCGGAGATGTCCTCTCGCCCGGGTTTGCCTCTACGCCAGATGAAAAGAAGAGGCTCAAACCAGAGGAAAGCCCGGGACTGACGAATATTCCCAGCATTCCGCTTGCCTGGCGCGATGCCCAGAGGCTTCTGCAGGTCCTGGATGGTCATGGTGCGCAGGTGCCAGAAAAGTGGGTTGGTGGCGTTCCGGAGGTGAAACAGTGGTGGACTGGAGCCAAGTCCTCTCCAACCGTCAATCTTATGAACCTCCAAGACGAGGTGGAAAGACAGCCCATCTACAACGTGGTAGGCAGGATTATCGGCTTGGAACAACCGGAGAAGAAGATCATCATCGGCAATCACCGTGATTCATGGTGTCTCGGAAGCGCCGATCCTGGCAGCGGTACCGCAGTGTTCTTGGAGCTGGTACGAGTCTTCGGGGACCTTCTCACCTTCGGCTGGCGTCCTTTGCGCACCATTGAATTCATCAGCTGGGATGCGGAAGAATACAACCTCGTCGGCTCGACAGAGCATGT